GTGAACAAAGCAAAACAAAACAAAACAGAGCCTTATCTTTGTGAAGCTGACATAATAGTAGAGAAATTGGCACGATATACAATATACAACAGATATAGTATATAAATAGGGCTGGGGATATAGCTCAGTGGCACAGTGTCTGCCTGGCAAGCACGAGGTCCTGAGTTCGATTATAGGTACCAAAAAAAAAAAAAAAAAAAAAAAGTCTGTCAAGCCTCAGGAGGTGATAAACAGACAGGAAAGGTGTAGAATGGGGTGGGGGGGGGATTGAGAGCACCGAGCTGGTGGGGGACAGCGATGCACTGCAGATTTAACCAGTTCGGTCAGTGGGAAGAAGATGTTTGAGCCAAGATTTGAAAGAGGGGACAGTGAGCCATGTGGATATTAGGGGTGATACCTTCCAGGTGGTGAAAACATCCAAAGCAAAACCTTGAAGCCAGAGGGTTCTGGGATGTTAAAATCTGAGGCAAAATAAGCAAAGGGAAACTACTGGGCACCGGCTTGAAAGTCAGCTCCACTTTGTTTGCGAGAGACAAACAGATCCTGGAAAACCTTGGCAGCGCTGGCCACATGTTCATGGAGCCTACAACTCAGTGAGAATGCCAGGTTCCTGGTTCAAACCGCAGGGAAAAACACCCTCTATCCCTTGAAAAATATTTTAGGGTGTTCTTAAGAGTAACAGTAATATGTGAGTACGATAAGACTTCTATATTGCAAAGATACATATTGCTGTTATAATTTTATATAATACAAAAACAGCAATACTTTATTAGCACATCTTCGCTGATCATATAGATGTCCCGGCCTACTTTTCTACGTAGTCATTCAAGAGATCATCAAGATGTGTATTTTCCACCACTTCGTTTTCAGTCCAAATAACTGAAGGTGAAGTCAGTCCCTGCCGACAAATACAAGATCACACGTCATGTAGGTAATTTTCCATTTTGAGAGAGTGCTTCCTGTCGAGTGACTAGGGGACTTGTTAAGATGATTTTGTAGGCTGCGTGTGACAACACTGAGCTAAATTTCTGAGAAATTACTTCAAAATACAAATTTCAGTATATTTGAGCTGATGGTTCTTGTTAAGCAATTTCCTTTCCTATTTTTTCTACATAAATGGAGACCCGCCGGAGCGCTGTGGGTACAGAAGTAACCTTACAGCCCAACCTGTGCACCTCACACTGGAGAACAAGGTTCAACGATCTCGTTTGAGTCAGCTGTTGGGTTTGATTTACACGGATATCATTTTGCTTTGGATACACAGTAAGAATTCAAACAGTAGTACCTAAATCTGTATTTGGGCCAATATGTGATATAAACGAAGTGCACCCTGTGTATGCAGACCATGCGACCCTGATAGAATTAGATGCCTTTGGTATAATGAATGAAAACTGTGAGCAGGAAGGAAGCTGTTAAGGCTCCTGCGCCTCCCAAAGCCTCCTGTGATCTTAAGTGGGGCCTTCGGAAGGTGAGTGGATTATGGGGCCTTTAGATGACTTGCCGTTAGAAGGCGGGTCCTGGTCAGAAGAGGGGGCTGCTTGTGCCATGGGCATGGCCCAAGAAAGCCGTGTCTCCTTTCCGGCTCCCCCCTTGATTCTCTGCTTCCCCCATGCCAGGCTGTGAGCAGTGTCCCCTCCACCAAGCCTCTCTGCCATGTCGCTGTGCCGACCATGGACTGAAACCTCTTCGAACTGAGCCGAGCCAACCTTTCCATCTTTAAACTGTGGCTGTCGGGTACTGTGCCCCAGAGATGAGGAGAGTCTAAGACAGAGACTGTGGCGCTGTGGAAACAGCGATGGCCTCCAGGCCTCTGGTCATTTAATGCCACCTCCTTGTTTGCCTCTGTCTGTTGGAGACTCCACTGACTCAGCCTGGTCATCCGTTAGAGCCCTCCGTGATCGCTCTGCATGCTTCTGCTCCTCAGCCCGACAGCTTTGTAGCTTCTTCTCCTGCGGCCAGCAGCTCGCTGTGTCCAGATTCTCTGTTCGCTCGCTCCTTTGCCGAGATTGAGTCTACACGTGTCTCTCCCTCCTGCCTGGGATGGGATGCCGTCTAGCCCCTGAGCCACGTCCTCAGCCCCAGGCGCCTTTCTATTCTGCCCTTGAATCACACTGCCTGGGATCTCATCGGCCACTGCTGGGGAGGACAGTGTCACAAGGTCACACGTGATTCTCACTGAAACTACAGGTGAGACATGGCGAGGACCTCACAGGACCCTGGCCCCAAATGTCACCTTCCATACCTTACTAGTATTCAGCTCAGTGTGTCATCACGTCTGAAATGCCGTCAGTCTTGGACTGATCACACTGAACAAGGCCCTTGTTTTTATAATTCCAAGTCCTCTCAGGAAGTTAAGATTTACTTGTGGGTGCTGATATATAATTAGTACTCAGTAAATATTAGTTGAATGAAACCTGAATAAAGTTCGATTTATCTCATCTAATTACTTTCTTCTAAGAATAGTTAACTGGATGGACACATTATATGGACGTCAGCAGGAAATGTCACGGAACACATGGAAAATGGACCGAGCGTGGGCAAGCTCAGGGACCATCAGGGACCGTAGACATCTGGTGCACGGGAATAAAACCTCCAGGGGTGGGGAGGAAAAGGAAAAGTTGTTTTCCATTTCCTTACCCCTCTCTGCCATCAGCCATGCCAACAAAACAAACATCTCTGTTTTGCCTGTTCCTGTGGCGGAAGGAAAGGGTTAACACTGCTGGGTGCTGCTGAAGACAAGCAGGAGGGGGACTAGAAATGTCCCTGATTCAGTGACAGAACAGCGCTGGTTATTTAGCAAGGGCAATTTCAGTGAAATTGAAGGAAGCACATAAATGCTGAGTGTGATAAAACAATTTAAGCATCAAAACACTAGGAAAGGAAGATCTATTCTGGTCTCAGATCCACAGCCTAATTAGTGGGTGACCTTGCAAAAAGCAATTAAATGCTCAAAGCCCTGATTTTCTCAACTAAAAGGAGAAAAACAATACCTATTAGGGCACGGGATTGTTGTGCAAGTTAACTGAGATCATGTATACCCGAAGTGCTCTGAAATTGTCACAGTGTTACAAAAACTGCAATGCATTTTAAGTGTTACCAAATAATAAATAAATCTAATCATGCTTTTAGCAAGAAGTATGCTAAAAATTCTGGACAAAAACCCATGACCAAGCATAAAAGTTAAACCCAAATTTACCACAAATTACAGAAATTCTGCTAAATAAACTCTGCTCCAAGTAGAGGAATTCCAAAAGCAGATACTTAGATCTGTAAGTGACAACGTGCTAGAGAAATTTACCAACGTCTTTGCCCTGATGATCTAAACAACACATTTTAAGTATAGTTGTGTTTCTGCTAGTCAATTATAAATTCACACACTATTTTTTTTTTTTAAAGTCTTGCCAGTTGTAAGAAGTCGGGCTGTATTTGTGTAGGGAGGATTTTCCAGAAGGTCTGACATTCTCTTTGCTTTCTTTGTATATTAAGGTGAGTAACAGTAACTAGAGGTGTCTTTGAATACATCTTCCTAAAATAGAGATATGACATCCCTTTAAAAACTATCAAAGGGAAAAAAATCCATTAAAAAAAAAAGTCATAGCTTGGTAAAATCCTGAGTTGCAATAATCCATTATTAATCTATAATAATGTTATTGGGAGCCAAAAATGTGCAAAAGCTAACGGTTACCAAGCCAATGCTCACCATGCTAATACGTACCATGTGGTATGCATCGCAGCGTGTGGTTTGCACGTATGTTTCATTTACTTGTTGTGGCAAATGAGATAGCTAGAACATGATTTTTCCAATTTAAATATAAAAATGTGAGACACGGGAAGATTAAAAAACTTGTCCAAGGCCATAGCTAATAAGCATATGGCTGGGACCAGAACTGTGCTTGCATGGCTCCAAAGTCCACGGTCCTAATGCGTTAGATCGCTTCCCACAATTCCTATATTTCATTAGACAAAATGTTTACCTTTCTGGAAAATAACGGTATTGCAAAGTCCCTAACTTCACCTGGACGGTTCCTGATTGCCCTGTTACGTTGTAATTGTCCTGTGAAGCTGAATGACCAGCCTCCCAGGCACAGGTTCTGTCCAGCTACGCAGGTCTCAAGTAAGGAAGCCGGCTCTGGCTTGAGGTCAAGATGCTTTATTTCAGGAATGAGTAGAATGCAAGTCGTAAGCCGACCAATAGCAATTTCAGAACTGCGAAGCTGGGCACTGCATGTTTCAGGCCTCTGAGGAGGAGGGTAAATGCTATGGGCATCACCCCGACCTGTAAGCTGCGTGCCTGGGCTGGTGCACTGGACGCACCTGGGGCTGCTGAGGTGGCTTCTCGGGGTCCCGGGTCTGGGTGGGGCCCCGGCGCTGCATCTCTTGTGAGTTCCCAGTCAGGTCTGTCACGCGGTCCCGGGGAACAAACCTGAGAATCGCTGGTAAAGCGATAATGCAGCCACTACCTACTGTCTTGAGCAGGAGTCGCCTTGGCTTATTCTTGCTCCCGCTAGGAGCTCACTCGGGAGGCGGTGGAAGTAGCAAGTGCAAAGGCCCTGAGTTGCTTGGTGTACCTGAAGACTAACCATAGGAATGAGAGGAATGTCTTACTGTTTTTCAAGAATAAGCAGGGCTGAGGGTGTAGCTCAGTGGCAGAGCATTTGCCTAGTATGCAGGAGTCCCTGGATTCAATCCACAGGATCACACACACACACACACACACACACACACACACACACACACACAATAAAAAAATAAACAGAGTTAATGGACGAAAGACAAAGCATGTGAATTTCAGCTGTTGGGAAGAGCTGAGGAGGGCTGTCACCCCTACCGAATGCACAAATTTGAGTCTTCTCTTTTCTTGTATCACAGTATTTTGAGGTTTCCAGTCTCATAAAAAGAGGAAGGTGCAAATGACATTAGTGTTTTGCTTTCTTTTGGAGACTCTGTACCCTGGTCTCCTGTTAGCCGGGAACTCCACAGGGAGTGGCGTGGGTGTCTCGCACAGGAAGTCACGGGATGGTGGCCTGGCCCTGTGTACTCAGGACTCTGTGTCCACCCACGCTGGTGGCCTCTCACCGCCTGAGCCTGTGCTTTCCTGCCCACATGCTTTTCCGGACCACAGGTGCCTGTTTAAACAGGGGCCTAGGTGAGGCTTCAAGTGGCACAGAGTTAACATGCCAGAAGCAGCCTGAGGCCAGTGAGGACGGATGGGGTGGCCCCACGCCTAGGGCGGGACAGCTCTGACAGCTCCTATGCTGCAGTCTCCTGATGGTGCTAAGGGGACGGAGCCCCAGTCCCCCGCAGTGGTGACTAGTTTTTCAGTGAACCAGTAGTGGCCTCTTTGCCACCCTTGCTCAATCTACCCTCTTCCCTGGCTGCTTTCTGGCCAGGCTTGCCTCTCAGATCATCTGCCTTCATGGATTGCAAGTCTCAGGACCTGCCTGCTGGGGATGTCAGGCTGAGACAAGGACCTTCTTGCTATGTGAGTATGTCTTGGACCCACGGGTCAGTCTCTTTTCCCGTACTAGGGAAACACAGGCTTTTCAGTTCAAGGATTGTTCTTTACTTTTACCACTGAACTGGGAACTTTCATCACATCATCAGAGCAAAAGGACTCACAGTGGTCTCAATCAAATGGTTTCATGCAATTCTTGAGCCCTGATTTTTTCCCCCTGTAGGAATGCTACCAAATGAATTATCAGCAGCTTTAACTTATTATTGCAAAAATGGTGGTTTCAAACAATTTCGTGGTCAATTACTCTTAAAAAGAGACATTCAGGTATAAACACCTTTGTCTACCTACAATACTATAATCTGCACTTAAAACATGCGTCTAATTAAGTCTGTTGGTTAAATCGGCTGCTGTTGGTCTTCAACGGTGCTATTTCCTTTGCTAAGATCTTGGTGTAACCAGCACACTGTGTAATCTCATGGGTTTAAAAGGACCTGTTAGTGTTTGTTTTGAATAACACAGCAGTGTTCTCAGTTGAAGACATAATTTAGAAAGTATTACACTTAAATGGTTAAACTTAGGAAAAACAGAGAGTGCGCAGAAGCCAGCCATGCAGTGTAATCCCTGGATGTGGTGCAGAAGCAAACGGAAATCCAGGGGTGAGGACAGGTCCTACGGGCCACTGCAGCTGGAAACAGAAAGCATCTGTGGGAGTCAATGAGTTTTTGTATAATTTGGTGGTGACCGGTTTTTTCTGCTTGAAACTGACCTTAAGGGAAAAAATGTTTACTTCTGGTGAATCTCAAATGGAATTAGTTATGTTGACTTCCCTGGGGCAAGGTTCTAGTCTGATAACTTACATAATCTTATTTACTTCCTATTAAGAACACTACGGAACAAATAACACTAAAAGTCATACCTGAGACTATTTCTTAGTGTTTTATTTTGAAGTAATTTTATAATAGCTTCTGTTTACAGGAAGTTGCAAGGGAATACAGACTGGCTCTGCATTTGTCACCTGATTTCCCCAAAGTTACATCTTACACAGCTATAGTACATTATCAAAACCAGGACAGTGACATTGGTCCTGTGGGCGTGCACATGTGTGTGTGTGTGTAGTTCAGTTTTATCATGTGTATTCCAGGAACCACCAAGTGCCACCAAGACACAGAACTGTTCTGTCACCACACAGATTTCCTGCTGTTGACATTATCAGTTTGGCCCTGGAAACTTACTTTCTGGTAAGTCCTGCTAACCCGTCCCATTTATAATGTAACTGTCACAAGACAATGCTCTTTGGCTTCAATGGTCAAACATAATTCAGGGAACTAAAGAGAAGGAAACTTTATTGTATTGACCCACATTTTTACTCTCTTTTCTTTCTTCCTTAATGCTCCAATATTTCTTTTTTCCCTATATTTTCCCAGAAACTTTTTATCCCTTCTTTCAGGATAGTATGCTTCCCTTTAAGTTTTCATTACTTGCAGAATGTCTTTATTTTCCCTTAATTTTTGAAGAATAACTATCCTGAATATAGGATTCTGGGTGGATAGTTCTTTCCTTGCAGCACTGAAAATATTCTGCCTCCTCCTTCCAGACTGCATGGTTTCTGATGAGAAATCCACTGTACTAGGATTTTTTTCTGTCTAGGTATCATTTCTCTCATGGCTTTCAGACTGCTAATTTGTCTGTAGTTTTTTGAAGCCTGGGTTTATACTATCACAGGTTTTTCTGTTTCTTGGAAAGGCTAGGTGTATACTTTTTCCCGAATCTGGTATTTTTCAGCTGTTACTCTCTATTCAACCCTCTTTCCCTTTTAAGACTGATGACAAAAATGTTCCATCTTTTACTGTAGATCTCACGGGCCAGTCAGTGATGGCAGACCTTTTAGAGACAAATGCCATACTGCTCCTTAGAGCCCACAATACTGCAGTTAAACCTGAGTGCTGAGGTTCTTGTTTAGAAAAAAAAAAAACAAAACAGCTCTACACGAACATCTTTGGTCTTAAAAACCACACGTCACAGGCTCATCACCACTGCCAGAGCCCTTGAAGACCTCCTCAATTTTTCAGTTTTTTTTCTTTCTGTTCTCTAGGTTGGGTGATTTAGGTGGCCTGGCTGATGCTCTGCTGCTGAGGAGGAGGTCACCTCCTTCCTGTTGGGACGAGGGTCCAGGGACCTCGCTCCGCCTCTCCTGCCATTCGTGGAGGCCTCATTCTTGCTGGGGGTAGTGGGATTGCAGGCCCTGCCACCTGCTGGATGTGAAAGGCCGGGTGGCCTGGTGCTGCTCACTCAGGGCCCCCACAGCAGGCTAGGCTGGCCCTGTTACTGCTGGATGGCGGTGGACCCCAGGGTCCCCACATGACTCCCACTGATGACGCAGCTGGATGATGGAGTCGTTACCTCCGAGTAAGGGAGAAAGGCCTCCCATTCCTCCTTCTCTGAGATCAAGGTGGCAGTAGGCACAGGGGCTTTGTGTCAGCCAGGCCTTTGCTGACAGGGTGTGTGGATGGAGTCGGGCAGCTGGTATTAAGTTTTCTCTCTTGCTGAGCAGCCCTTTTCCTGCTACTGGCCAAGCAGAGCAACCTCTTATTGACATTTCTGTCTAAACACCCTGGTGCCTCTGAGGTGCCAATTTCTTTAGCACGCCGTGTGGGATGGGAGAGTGAAAATGGATCAGAGAATTCTCCGCCATCTTGTTCCTCAGGCTCTGGGTCCCTTGCTGGTCTGCCCTCTTCTCCTCACCTCTGAGTCTCTTTATTTTTCTTTTCTATAACATCCAGAGTTCTAAACCATCCTCAATGAAAGGAATGGACAGAAGTATTCTATTTTGTCTTGGTCTGGAACAAAACTAAGTCACTGGTATATTCTTAAAGTGAAAAGATAATGAATATTGTAAATGTTCCACACCTTAAAGTGAATAGGGTAATCGAAGTTCACAAAATACATTCATATGCACGTGAATGTGGTGTTATTACATTCCCCTTCCTCAGCGAGGAGAACCGCTCCAGGGATGGTATTTCTGATCCAGCGTAACACACTGAGCCTGTCACAGGGCTGAGGCATAAATGATACTGCTCTACTCGATGCCAAGAAGGTTGAACCAGGTGACACAAAAGCACAAATACTCAGGGGTGAGTAACTCATCAGAAGACTTTTGGGGCTCACTCTTCATGTATGGCCGTCCTTCTTCCCAATTCCGGCTTTCTTGGTCCTGATGCTGCAGGATCTCTTCTCTGACTGGGGAGCAGGGCATCACATGGTATCACCGGCAAAGCCAGGATCCTGCAGAGCGCAGCCCTGCCGAACCCCGTCCCTGCTGAGTTGGGCACGGCCGCTCCATGACAGAATCCCTACGTGAGCCTGGCCTCCTGCCCGGCCAAAGCGCCAGCGCCCAGGAGCCCATCATGCTGCGACTTTGGTACCAAAGCAGCCGTAGGACCTTCTCTTTCCCTTCACCTTCCTGTCGGCATACTCGGAAAGGCTCGCTGGCTCTTACTCCTCACTCGGGAAACCAGGTTAAACGATGGGCAAGGTAGTTGAAAGCTTTTTAAACACCAACCTGGGGGACTGGTTGCGAAACAGATGCTTTTATTTACCGGTAGTTTTAGCAAGAGTCTATAGCATGGTGTGAGGACTCTCCCTGGCAGTTTGTGTCGCATTCATTTTAGGAAAACCAGCATGTTCCTTTGAAAACCAAGAACTTAAGAGCTCCCCAAAATTGCTCACTGGAAATAAGGTGAATTTCCTATATCTCCAATTTTTAGGTATTATGTGCAATTAGATCTATTAAAAACTGAAATTCTACAGATTTGCAAATGTATATGATAAGAGTGCATAAAAATCTACTGTTGGAAGTGCTCCTCCCTAAATCTCTAAGTGAAACTAATACTCCAGGAGGATACACCAAGGTAACCTGCAAGTATTCTGTGATAGACTGCCACATGTCCTCGAGATCAATGCATGCCAGTCTGAGAGGCATAATGCCAAGCAAAATATAAAATAAAACAACAAACTCTTTTATATACTGCAATACCATAAACACTTGTAACCTTGTTCAATTTTAGCTTTATAAAAAATTCACCCAAAAATCAATGAGTAAAATTCATATGATAAAAGGGAGTTTTCACATGCCACCAATAAACACAGGACCTATTCCAGAAAAACTAAAGTTCAGAAGGGGTAGCATGATAAATTATTTCCTACTGGAGATGTGCTAAATAATAAATAACCACAACTATTCTTTTACTTTATTTTCAATGATACAAAGCTAAAGCTTTACAATTTCTCTTCATCCAGGAAGTCCTGTCATTTTGGCACAATATCATTGGTTTGAACTAGATAGGAAAAGATTCATCTAAATTAGCAAGATTTCTGAATACAGAATTTGAGAAAGAAATGTGATTAGTTTTAGTTAGCTTTAATTGCATACAATAAGCAGAATTAAGCTGGAATATATTACCCAATATGACAGCTTTAAATAGCTGATTTAGACTGCCTGTATTTCGTGCTGGTAACATGTTCCTGAAAACTAGCTTTCCCAAGGAATAGCAGATGTTTCTGTCTAATACCTAAAGGGATACGGTTTCCATTCATGGACCTGCCAAATTACGTAGTTCTTTAGAAGCTGGTTTTCAATTTATAGAGATAGATATTACTTCAAATATATATAAATGAGACTAATAATATTTTGTTTTGCTATTTCAAAGTCTCACAATTTAAGTTCGCCTGAAATGTGAACATGTGTGAATATGTACGTAACATATTTAAAGTAGATGGAAAAAGCAATTTCCTCCCAGGCTTTTAATTTAATGAGTTAATTTACTCGGTAACTCTTCAGAGATGAGTGAAATCCTAATAAGTAATCAAACTACGTAGGAATTCAGATGGTAACAAGTGCAGAAAGAAGTGAAGGAGAGAAGTGGGCTGGGGTAAGGCGGGGCAGTGTTACAGTCTCTATTCAGCTGGCCTCAGAGAGCCTCAGGTGCTCACAGGTGGGGCTTTTGGCAGGCAACTGGATCGGGGGTCCCACAGCTAACTTGCTCTTAGGAGATGAGGTCTGGTCTGAAGAGGGGGTGTAGCCCTGGGGTGTGGCCCAGAAAGGTTTGTTCCCGTGCCCCATCTCTTGATCTCTGTCTATTTCCTATCCACCACGCAATGAGCAGCTCTCCTCCGCCAGGCCCCTGTGCCATGCTTCCCTGCCCCGGATCCAGCCAGCTATGGACCAAAACCTCTATAAAATTACACTGAAATACACCTGTCTGCCTTTAAGCTGTGGGGGTTGGGTATTGTGTGCGCCCCAGGGATGAGACACTGACCAACACAAGAAGTCAAAGAAGGCCTGCGTGAGCAGTGGGGTACAACTACGGATACCAGGCGCAGAGGCTGCTGCCCCGCAGCCTTCTAACGGGAAGACGGCACGGCAGAGGGAGCAGCTAAGGCGAATGCACAGATGGAAGCGAAGCGGATAAACTAGGGAGTCCCAGGGAGTCTATGGGGAACCATGTGGGGAGCGTGTGAAGAGTGCCCATGCAAGATGGAAGAATCAAGTGTTCGGAGCAGACACCTCCAAGCACCAAGGACTGGGGAAGAACCATTGTTACTCAAATGACTGCAAACAGAAGCCATGGCTGAGCGACAAAACCACTTTCAGTGGAAAGCAAAACCTGATGAGAACGGGCTTACGCGAGGAAGTGGAGTAGGGAGTCCACCCATTATTTCTACGAAGAAAAGCAGAGGCGAGGGGCAGTGGCTAGAGAGGGAGGTAGGTTTGGCAGGAGAGAGTCGGGAGGAAGTCCCAGGCATCCACAAAATCAATACTCAGGCTCATTCCCCAAACCATGTTAGGGCACCTCAGGATAGTGATGAGGCTATCGAGCAGAGGCATGACCTGCCTGCCCCAAAGGCTTACTAAAAGGAAAGGAATTTTAGAAACGTTAGACATCCGGTCAAGGAGTCCCGAGTACAATCTAAAGAGGAGTCACTGGGTGGTGGTCACACGGGAAATGGCAGAAGCTACTCGACCTCATTCTACCCAAACATGAGGAATGTACTACAGGTGAGGGGCCTGGGCGGAGCAGGATTCAAACCACAGGAGCTGGGGGGACAAAGAGCAGCAACCTGGGGCCAGCAACGTCCACAGAATGGGTGCCTCATGGTGCGGTAGGAAATCGGGCTCATCTGGCAGATACACTTCCATATTAACTGTAAAGCAGATCTAGCTGGAGGCTGTGGGGTCATTAGAACCATCCCCATGGTGTCAGGGTCAGAAAGCAATCTTATTAGCAGAGTTTTCAGTATCGATTTCCCAGAACGGAATAGTGTGTTTATGGGGGTGGGGGTGGGGCTCAGCTCTCTTGTCCCCGTGAGATTTCATCAAGATGGACTAATCATTTTGACTCCAGTAGTTAGCAGCTGGGAACTGCCTGGATATGCTGAGAAAATGGACCTAGAATGCAAAGACCAAGCTTTGAAATGACGCAAGATGTGGCAAAGCCAACCACCCTCGGCTTCCAGACCTTTGTCGTCTAACTCCACGCTTAGATGCTGGGCTGAACAGCATTGAAATTTCAGCTAGAAAACCATCGAGGGCAGTGCCCCCATGAACCACACGCCCTACCAGTGTGGCCCGCTCTCAGGAGCCCTTGGTTTCCGTATCTTAAAATGGTAGTGACAAGGACTGCTCAGTCTCATTGGTTGGTTTTGACACTCAGAATGGAAGTCTAAAGCATCACCGAGATGACTATGAGATATTAATGCTTCACCGTTCCACACCCCAAAGCCTGAGTATTCCACTGTTATCTGAGAATCAAAGACAAGAGGTAAATCCCACGAAATCTGGGAAATCCTACCTCTCAGCGACTGGCTTGGCAATGTTTTCAAAAATGATCTCTTGCTTTGCATCATGATCAAAAATCCTTTGAAACCTGCAGGGTGAAAATGGCAATTATTTAAAAAGCTGAGCCTTCCAACATGACTAGATTCATAAATCTTGTTTTTCTCCAAGCCGTTGTGCGTGACCCCGTGTTTACATCACCGGGCTTACCTAACACGGGACAATGTCGGCCCTGTGGTCCCCCACAGCATGCCTTTGTGCTCCCGATACAAACGGCGAGCAAACAGCATTGCTTTGACTAGATCTGCACAATACACCCCTCTGAGACCCTGCAGCGGCTTTGAGCCCAATAATAAACTGTGTGTTTTTTAGCTCTCAAGAGCAACCAACAGTGTCTGCAGATAGCACCAAATTCAAATCTAGATCACCGCCTGAAATGGGAGCCCAAGAGCAGGATATAAACAGCCAAGGAACTTCTGATGTCTGACCTGTGAGAAAAGGTACAGTCGAGCACCGCAGGCTTATGGAGTTTAACTTCAAATTTCTGAACAGAAGTTGATTGGCTGCTAATTAGGTTCTGCACCCCAACATCAACTGTTTGATTCTCAGGCTCATTTCCTTTCATTTTCTTGGCCATAATTCAAAAGTCAATGAGCAAATTAAGACAAATCTGTTCTGCCAAGCGAAGTCTTTCTCAGTGTGCCAGTGCCAAAGGAGGGGAGGTGGGACGGTGTGGATTTCAGTCTGCTCCCAGCGTCACCCGGACTTAGCACAGGACTGCAAGCGCAGAGGGTACCCGAGGAGGGAGACACACAATCTATTCTTTTATAGTGATTTAAGGTGCCACCCAGCAAGTATGGCTCCCACGAAAACATAACAATAATGAGACTGAGAACAAGAACAAAGAAAACTGAACAAAACATTAGTAAAAGGCAAATCTCCCACAGAGCATATGAACGTCGATTGGTTTGTTCTTCCACATTTTCTGTGTATTTAAATTTTGGAGTTAAAAACAATGGAGAGAGGGATGCAAAAAGTTTAAAACAAGCACTTTGAGGGCAGGGCATCCTAGGCCACTCTGGTCTGGGCACCCGGCTCTGCAAGCCAACAAGGCACACATTCAATTAAAGCGGAGGCTGTGGGCGAGGTGTTCAACCACTTGCACTAGTGAGGAATTCCGAGATTGGTCTTTAACCATCAGTGACTTCTGGAGATCTCTGTCGCTCATCAGCCTCCACCCCAGGGAAGCAAACAGGGGACTGCAGAGGGATTCTTCTCAGGGTTTAGCAGATGAGATTATATTTTAAATGGTGTTTACCATACAGCGTGCCTAGACCAGTCCTCAAGAGCCTGTGGTGTACCCCAGCCCCCGAGAGGGCCACGACCAACACATCAGCACCACATGGAGGTTGATGCGTCCACCGCTGCCCATGAGAATGCTGCCCACTTCAGGGCCTGAGTGTGGTGCCCTTTAGGAAAATGATGCTGGCCGAGGCTGGCTGGCTGGCTTCTGTCACCGAATTCCCAGCCCACTGACTTGACTATTAAGGAACTGTATCTTTTACTATGCAATCAAAAGAGATGGAAGGGTTTTAGTACGTGCAGAACATAATTCTGGAAGGTTCTTCAGAGTGGTAGCATGCTCACTTTCTAATCTATTTCACAAATATATACCAAGTGCCTACCCACATACCACAAACCTCTAACAAAGTTCAAATTAGAGTAAAATGTGATTTTAGTACAATACCTATAAAGCGTATTGAATTCATCAGGGGGAAAATGACATCTTCCACTGTTTAACAGAACCACAAGTAATTCATATCCCTCTGTTTACTGGCATCTGCCCATGCATTTTAGAACAGAGATTTTTAGCATCAGAGCTTATAATTAATCATGAATTGTATATTAAACACCACATATCAGTATCCCAAATATTTTACTTCACATAAAATAGTTGCATAGCAATCTAAAAAAGTCTTTTGATCCGTTCTCTTCCAACAAACAACGAAGAGTAAATAGGATCAGAATTAGGAGGAATTTTAACAGTTTAGCCTAATCTACAAGAAAAAGTCCACAAAGAAAAAGTGATCGCTCAGAGTCCTTTATATCTGCAGTTCTGCTTCCACAGATTTAAAAAGACTCAAAAGGAGCCTTGAGGTGTAATTTGGGTTTCCCAGAGGGTCCTGTCTTTTACCGAGAAGGGGAGTAGGTTTTTTCTAAATGCCATTTCACACTCAGCATACACTTATCTTCCCACCCCAAACTCTTCTTCCTGCAATCATCCTCAACCAGTAAATGATACTCTACCCTTTAGAAGTTCAATCTGAAACCTTCAGGGCACCCTTGACCCCTCTCTTCCTACCCAATATGCTCTATTCAGTCTCTACTACCAAACTCTATTACCTTTAACCTTCAAAATACATGTACAGTCCAATTACAGTCGGCCCCTACTGTCCCCAAGGGGTTGGGTCCAGGACCCCCCAAGACACCAAGACCACAGAGGCTCCAGATCTGTCACATGGCCCAGTACTTGCATTTAGCCTCTGTCTGGCCCCCATACACTGTGAGTCACGTAGATTCTGCTACCTAACACAATGTAAATGCTGTGTAAAACACTAGTAAGTCTGTACGTGCCCATCATTTTCTCCAGCTCTTTTGAACCCACAGTGTGGATACAAGACGGCTGACTGTATCCTCAACAGTTCTGGTTCAGGCCACCACAATTTTTGACCTCGAGTCCCTTGTGGTAGCCCTGCTGGTCTCTTGACTCTTTACAGTCTGTTTTCCAAGTGCCACTGGATGATCCTGCTTGACTATAAGTGAGATAATTTCATTTTCATGCTCAAGACTGTCCATTCCCTTCCCATGCCCTCGGGGGAAATGCTCAGGGCTCGTCAGGACCCAGAGGGCTCCGTAAGCTCTAGCTGCCCCTGCCCCTTAGACCTCTCTGTCTTTCCTTTTCCTCAAACATGTTGGGAACACTCCCATTTCTGGGACTTGGGTCTTGCTATTCCCTTGGCCTAGAATTCCGATTGCTCGCTATCTGAAGGGCTGCTTGCTATCTTTATTTTAGCAGGCATTTGTTGAAATGCACTTGGTTTATCTCTGCAGAATGTGCCAAGTCCTTGGGGAAGGGGTGATAGATGCAGACACAGCGGATAGTTAATCTAACACACGATGCCAAATGAAATGTTTCAGCCAGTTGTTGCTTACGGAATTGTTACTTCCATGAAGTCACAGCCATTAAGATACACAGCATGCTTACATCAGTGGGAGAATGCCCTTCAGGAAAATTAAAGCGTGTGTGACAGGGTAACTCCTGAAGGGGTATGATGGGAGTCGGCAGGAAGTCACGAGGACGCAGTGAGGACCACCTTGCTATGTGACCATGCATTAACCACCCCTGCTTGTGCTTGCACAAGCAGACACAATAACAAGTGGATGTGAGAGTGGGCTAAGTATGTGAGAGACAAAAGGAGGAGCTATGCAGACCACAGAGAATTTTTATGAGACTAAAGATAGGAGCAAATACACATTTGAAAAGAAGAGAGGGCTGGAAATATAGCTTAGTGGTAGACTGTGTGCTTAGCATCTGTGAGCCCGAGTTCAATCTTTGCAGCACACACACAGACACCAAGTAAGGGACAGAACCATAAAATGTCTGCAGTAGTTTTATCTAGAGGGCCAGGGCAGGGGAGAGCTCAAAATAGGACCTTCATAAAACAGTCTAGAGGGAGATGGAAGACAGCAACTAGGATTCCTCCAGCTGGACCCTGAGATCTACCCGCAAAGTTCGGGCTAGACATACATGCATTTAACTTGGGCTCAAACCTTATCAGAAATCACAAGTGGGGATTAAAAGAAATGGTTGCCTCTGAAACCAGAGAATGAAGGCCGCGCGTGCGAAACAGCCTTAATCCTCAAGGATTCCAGGCCTGGCGACCAGAAGAGTGTTCAGACCAACAGCGCTGATGGTGGCCCACAGCGGCTGTTTGGTATTTTTCCCTCAAACCCTGGATAGCTGGCCCAAGAGAAATAAAAGCATGTCCATAAAAGTGAAAATGTGTGGAAAATGAAATATGCTAGTTACCATGTTTTAAAAAGTGAAAAACCAGTGACATTCATTACAATATCTTTTAATTCAATATATTCAAAATTTTATTACAATGCATAATTAATATAAAAATTTGAGCTATGGTACCTTCGGTTTTTCATGGGTCTACAAAAAGCCTTTATATATCTGATATTCTATAATATCTCTCCTTTCAGGCTAGATGCATTTCAAGTGCTCAAGAGCCACTTGATGGGGCTGATGGCACAGGTTCCAAGGGTTCCTAAGTGCGTATAAGAGTTGCACGTCATTTACGTTACAAAGCTCACCTAACCGGGACACAGGATGTACCTTAAGGTCTCATCTTTAATAAAGTTTCATCATGCATTGGAACCTCCTGGAAATACTAAGCCACAGGGGCCTGAGTAAGAAAAGAATAACACTACAGAAAAACAGGTAGCAGAAAAATGTTGCGGTCCCGGAACATAACCCCAGACTCCGATATATACTCTCTTTCCAACTTGGAGCATAACAGCGAACCTGGGTTCTATCTGTTAGTTAAGAGCGCGGTACTATTTTCTCCTGGGCTCAGGACTTCATGGTGGGCATCAACACACAGCAAGAGTTACCCCACCAGGGAAACAGAGGCAGGAGGAGAGTGATAAACTTACTTAAATCTGTAGCTTTCTCGCTTATTATTCACAAATCCGTCAGCCAAGTCATGTGGTAAGATAATTTCCAAGCTAGGTGTTAACTTTTCATCTTCCTCTATGGAATAAATCTGCAAACACAAGGACAATAAATGAATGTATAGTGGTAAAATTACAGTTAAACTACAACCGTGATACCATGACTTGCATGGTACTGTACCTTGGTACTTGACTGCTTTGAAACTTGTCAGATTTGATACTCAAACCATTTAACAGGTGTTGGTCCTTTGTTTGGTACCTGACACCTTCAGACAAAAAAAATTCGAGTTTCATTGCATAACCCTACTTTTAAGATAAAATGTCATAATGTACAATTTGGATAATTTTCTGTGTTGAGTTATATGCAGACTCAACCATTTAAAAGTGAATGAGAAGAAAAACAGAATGCTCTATTGAAGTTCAGATAGTCTTTTAATATTCATCATAACTGGAAACTAACAGTCCTGAAAGCAACATGTTGTCTAAGACCTGCTTTCATACTGTGTATCAAGAAATGAACACTTCACGACAGCCAGTAAGTATTTCTGAACATTTCCAAACTCTACATACCAAGATACCAGGATGAGGCTCTGAGTCTTCTCAGGAAACTCACAATCATGTGACAGTTTCAGTGATGTCCAAAGAAGCCCCAGTTTCTATGAAATATAACTCAGGCATTTGCTAAGATATGCAATTTCAAGAAACACGTGTAGTTCATGTCTTTAGGTCACTTTGAAGGTTGTTATCCCCGCCCAGCTGGTAACTGGCAAGTGACCTTGGAGAAATGACAGCCTCTCTAAGCTGACGGGGAAACGAGGGTTTCTATCCAAGCCCTCACAACTGTGACATTCTGAGTCTCTTCCCAATCACCTACTCCTTTATTTATTGGCCAGGAAAAAAGCCTAAGATTTGGGGTCCAAATACTGAGCTCAATTTACCAGCCACCACTTTCCAAATCAAGGCTTCTTATACCTAAAATGAGGAAACCAGAATTGCCTTCCTTACAAGATTGCTAGGAAATCTAATGATGTAACGGGAATGGAAGTATTTTGTAATGCACCATAAAAAGTTAGTCATTAGATTTTGAAGGTTTTTCAAAAAAGACTTTCTTGTCTTTGGCCAAGAAATAAAATTCTTTCTAACAGGCAATACTTCCCATGTAAGACTCATTTAGAAGCTTGATTATAGGGAAAAATTAATATTCCAAAGCAAGTAAAATCCCACCTAAGTCTTCGGAAAGTAGGAATAATTTCCTAAGCAGATTTTTATTGAAACCTCACAGTCAAAAAGTGAAGACTTCAGGTGAAAAAGTCATTCTTGAAAAATAAAATTATTTGTAGCGAATAATGACATCAGGTCAAGGTGTTCTGGGTAGGTTTCCTCAAGAGAGATTTTTAAAAGCATATTCTGTAGGGCACTGCATTAAACAAAGTTTAATAGCTTAGACAGGTGACTGAAAGGAGTGTGTTAGACGGGAAACACACAAGTAAGGAGCGGCCTTAAGAAAATCCCTTGGGGCCACAAAACTTTAATATATTCGCTTTCTGCTCATAGTCATAAAAATACTATTATTTGCAATAGGGCAGCTATTATTTAGGAGACTGAACAAATGCAAGGATGAATATGGGGTGTTTTGAAACATGCAAAGCTCCGCAGGGGAAAACCACTGCCATTGTAAAAACCATCAGGCAGGCTCATACTATGCATCTTCATTAGGAATCTATAAATCATGATGTAATTTCCAATGCCTTCAGAAATAAAGCCCTCTGAGTCACTCTGTTCAACAGGACAAACCCCATGTACAGTTAGTGAAGCAAGCCTGCAGTCTTTTAGGGGGACAAGAAGACATGGTGCTGACCTGTGGGGTTTCTAAGGGAGGGCAGGGATGTGCTCACTCAGTATTTATTTATTTATTCATTTATCTCTTTATTCCTGTTCTCTTCTTTTGGTGTATGTGGTATGCTACATCTCGATCTGATGTCATAAAAATGCAAGACAACACCTAAAAATATTTTGGAGAACGGGGACTGAACAATCCACTCTGCAATTGTGTAAAGAAATGTGAAAAAGAGGCACAGTAAGATACCTAAACACCGCCTTTAAGAAGACAAAGTTCAGTGTCAAGTCCAAGGCTCTGTCTGCATCCACATCTTCCTTTCCCATAGCGGAGCATCCCCTTCTGACAGCCAGAATATGAGTAAACTCAACATTTTAAGCTAAGAAGTGCATACAATATACTTTTTACATGCAATTTAAAAACTCTTGTAGATGATTGCAACGGGAGATAAGACCAGGAGACACACATGCTTCTCTCCATCCTGCTTCAGGCCTTTCTTAAAAGCCAGTGTTTTCTTTGGAATCTTCCCATGGATCTTCTCCTAAGTGTGTATCATGGGAAAAAAGACTGATGTTGATGATAAAGATGTTACGTTCTCCTTTTAAATACACAAATTGCAGGAGGCAAATGCTAAATTCTGAGATAGTGCATTACACATACACAAATGCACTTCATAGGTGTGGAATAGAGACCAAAAAGCAAGACACCTATCCAAAGTACTCACAAATCTGACCCAAACTGTCTTTGCCTAAAGTTACACTTGGCAGTAGAAAATTTTTTTAAAATTTTTTGCCTGAAAGAGAACAGCTTTATAATAATAAAAAATTCTTAATTAAAATCACAGTATTGGTAGTCACCAGTAAGGTGGCCCAACCCCATTATTTAACCTGTGGCTCAGTTTCCCTCATCTGTAAAATGGGTAAAAGGCCATCCAACTTGCCATATTTTTGTGAGAAACAGAGATGGTGTTCACAAAGCACCTTTCAAGAGGTAGTTTTTCAAGACACAGGAATAATGACCATGTTCCCCTCCAGAGCAAGAGGACAAAGGTTTTTTAAAAATATTAAGAAACAGAGTATCTGCTAAGAGCATCGAGGCTGTCAACATTCTCTATAATCTTCTGAATTTAGCTCAGTAAAGGAGGCACCTGGTAAATGCCCATTAATGTTTTCTGAGAGAAGTCTGTATTTGTGTCAGGATGCACAAACATCTTCTTCCAACGACATTATGTCACAGTGAGTGACTGTACAGCTGGCCAAGAAATTCCTGAGGGCCCATCGCATGCAGACTGCTGCATGTGAGTGAGCTTTGTATATCGGTGTCTGTTTCTATTTGCATCATTTCAGACATTTATAAGCACGCACCTCCTGCTTGCATATGTTTTGGCCAAGTGTAAAAACATACATGGGGGGGAGGGAGGGGCAGATTCCTAAAAGGATGCAGTAAGTGCCAATGCGTGGTCGTGGCGCATTCTGTGCGTGTGTGCAAATAAGCACACACACACACACACACACACACACACACACACACACGAGAGCGCCCTGCGTGAACACGTATGTTTTGTGCAGGGCAGTGCTGGGTGGGGCTGGCTAGGGGTCTACAGGTGGCTTCCTTGACCAGGTGCCACCGCATCTAAGACAGCAGGAGAGGAATTCCAGGAAGTCACTGCGTCGCCCGGCTCCCCACCCCCACCGCTCCTAGTACCCACCCACCCGCGTCCCGAGGCCCCACCTCGCTGGTGCCCCCCTACTCAGCGCGTACCCCTTGTTGTTGCTTCCGGGCAGGGGGCTTTACCCTTGCGAAAATCTGGATAGTCTGCTTCACCATCTCCTTCCTGCTCTGACTGACCCTTGACCTCTCGCTGAGGTCTCCCTTGCTAAACTTCTTACTCTCACCGTCTTCTGTGACCCGTAGCCTTAGCAACAGTAACTAGGGATACTACCCAAAAAGCACTGCGGCAGCCAGGATCCCGCCTCCTCTCCCTAATTGGTGGCGGAAGAGAAGGGGCGGGCCAAAGAGAGCGGTTGAAGGGCGTGGTTGGAGCACCGCAGAGCGCTCTGCGCGTGCGTGTGGGCAGGACCTGGGGCAGAGGTTAAAGGGACGGAAAGCAGAGAAGCTGGTTGCCTAGGTTCTTTAACCCATTATTTGTTCCTTCACCTCCTTTTGGTACTGAAAGCCTTTGCCCTTTGATCATTCGTCTACTGAAAAAATGGTGCTTGATCTGAGACACGCTGTGTCCTCGGTGAGAATCCTGAGCTGAGTAAAACTGCCCTGGTCCGCTTGGAGAACAGGATCTGAGCAAGCAGGCGGACTTTCAGCTGAAGATTACAACCAAGGGGTCAGGGCTATGCTGCGGTCCGGGCGGGGCGGGTTCTGTCCAGCTCTGCTTTGAGGAAGGATAAGGCTGGAGGCAGGGGACTGCTTCCCATGTAGCTCTGTAAAAAAGGGAAGAGTCCTCAAAACGGCACCTGAAAAGATGTTCACTGTCACTATTCACCAGGGAAATAAAAACTATAACCACAAGGAGATGTCACTCTACACCCATCAGAGTGGCAGAAATTAAAATAATAAAAGAGGCACCACCAGATGTTGCTACAGAGAAAATGATTCACACATCAGCGACACTGTGCGTGTTGTAAAATGCATACTAGATAATGGTACGGGCACTTTGGAAAACAGTTTTGATAATTTCTTACAAAAATAAAAACGCTGCTACTCCGAGACCCTGCAGTTGTACTTTAGGGGTCTGTCCCAAAGAAATTAAAACGAGCGGACACACACAAAAGAATCCTGTACTTAGGCATTTGTAGCAAATTAATTTGTAATAATCACAAACTAGAAAGAAGTCAGTTCTTCAGTGGTTAAGCAAATTGTGGCATTCTGTTCATCCTGAAAAGGAAGTATTGCTACATGTAACGACTTGATGGACTTCCAGGGAAATAACGTTATGTAAAAGAAGCCAAATCTAAAAGTCAACTACTGTATGATTCAGTTTATACAAGACTTTATACAAGACTCTAGAAAGGACAAAATTACAGAGATGGAGAGATTAGTGGTTGCCAGGGAGGAACAGAGGTGGCTACGGTTGTAAAGAAATACTTGTGATGGATTGTTCTGTATCTCACAGCAGGGAAGTCACGAAATCACACAGATGAGAGCACTGCAATACACACACACAACACACACACACAAAGCGTGCAGGTCGATTAAAACTGAGTAATATTGATGATTTTATCAATGCAATTTCCTGATTGTGATATTACACTATAATTATGTAAGATGTCTATTGTAGGAAAGTTGAGGAGGGATAAGCAAGTTTGTATTATTTTTTACAACTGCACGTCAATTTACAAGATTATTTTAGTTTTCAAAAGACATGCAAGAAAGTTTTTGCAAAACATGTATCTAATAAAAGACTTGGATTCAGAGTATATTTTAAAAGTTTCAAGCCCAGTGCTCACTTTGGCAGCACACATACTAAAAGTTTCAAACCCAATAATAGTAAAACAATTTGATTCTTAAAATATTTTCAGCTCAAATATTTGAACAAACATTTCACCAAAAATGGATACATGACTGGCAAGTGAGTACATGAAAAAGAAGTTTAATATCAATCATTAATGAGATGCAAATTAAAACCACACTGAGATACCACTACACACCTCACCTCTGATAATGGCCTAAAAGAAGAAAATGAAGCTGACAATACCAAGTGCTGGCACGGAGCATCTGGAACTCTCAAACATCACAAGAAAGAAAGAAAGATGGGCCAACTTCTTTGCACAACAGTTCTGTAGTTCCTCATAAAGTTATATGTGTATTTACCATATGACACAGCATTCCCACGCCTAGATACTCAACCAAGTAAAATGAAGACTTAGGTTCTCTTAGAAACTTAAACATGAACGTTTAGGCACAATTACCAAAAACTGGAAACAAAGTGAGTGCTCTTCAGCTGGTGGACAGATAAGCAAACTCCGCCCAATGAAAGGGGATGAACTGCAGGCGCCTCATACAACATGGTTACATCTCACATTTATTATGTGAAATGGAGGACGCTGGCCTCAGAGGTTACATACTTTATAACTTCAGTTATAAGACATTCTAAAAACCAGAAGGGGCAGGGGTGCAAAACAGATCACTGGTTTCTGGGGGCCACAGAAAGGTCGATTACAAATGAGTAATAGTTTTTTGTTGTTTTTGCTTTTCGTTGGAGGAAGGTGATAAAATTGTTTCATATTTCAATTGTGGTTGTGATTACATGATTGTATTTTTGTCAAAACTCAGAGCTACCTTATCTATACACATAGGCAGGGATGCTGTAGGTAAATTGTACAATAATTAGAAAAATAAATAATGAGGCATGAACGGGGAAGCAGTGGCACAGATGAATAAGAGGGGAAAACAGGTATTTGTTAAATAGACGTCAGAGCTTTATCACCAGATGAGGAGAAGATGACTCAAGCCTGGGCCATCAGGTTCACGGCATAGATGGTCTCTAGAGAGGTAAAGTAGATTAGATGAGGGAAGAAGGAGAAATGAGAAATTGGGCACATGATAAATTTCAGATGCCTGTGGGATTGCACCAAGTAGTTGAAGTCTAAGAAAGCCATGGCTGAAAATATGAATGTGGAGGCACTGCAGTTTTTCTAGAAGGAGAAAGCATAGAGCACAGAGGCTGAAATGCTAATGCTAATAGTTGGAGGGGAAAGGGAAGAGGGCCCACTGGACAGGAGCGGAGGTGTGAGACAGAGAAGGGAACGTTGCATCATGGAAATCAAGCAGAGAGCATTCTGGGAAGGTGCGTCAGCAGTGGAGAGAGTGTATCTACTGGGAAATGTCTGCTCTATGTCACAGCTAGAAGGTGTTAGTAATTCAGGTTGTGGTTCCAACGCAGTAGTGAGACAGAAGTCAGGTTACAGGATGCTAAGGAAGGTTAGAAATGGAGGCAGCCAAGAGAAGCTAGTTTGTTAAGGTTGCAAAGAAGCAAAATGAAAAGGTGATAATTAGAAGATCCAAGGTAAGGAAGGATCTTTTGCTCACCTTTAAGGAGGTTAATCCAGTAAAGAAGGTGAGGTTGGAGGCACAAGCCAGAGCAAAGACAAAGGATGGTTACCCCAGATGGTAAGAAGGCACTTTATAAAGAGAGTGAAACGAAAAACAGGCAAAGGAACACAGGATATTTATAAAAGATAACCGTGACCCAATGGTCAAGGCTAACAGCGATGGTTGGAGGGATGCTACTGGCCTTTGACATGGAGGATTGTTGCATGGGCTAGGAGGGAAATATTTGGGTCCAGGATGTGGGAACTTTACACTTCCTGCCTTGAGCTCTAGGTCATAGGATTAAATGCATAGATGAGGAGGAAGTGTAGGTTCAAATCCTGAGCTTATCTCTCTTCCTAAGTGTTTTTAAGGCTCAGTTGGCTCGTCCAATCACGGGGCTGGATAATAATAGCTATTTCATGGAGTTATCAGAGAGATTAAATGGGGGCATGCAGGCAAAAGTGTTCACATGGTACCCAGCGAATGGAGAATGTTCCTCTGCTTGTGCAGTTCTGACCTGGGGAGTAGATTCCTTTGGTTACAATCACCTCTTAAAGAACAGAGATGACACCCTGAATCTGTATATATGACGTGTTAGGATTGCAAACTTAGTACCTCCTGGAGCCAGACCTAGGTTGTAAATGCATTAAACAGACAGGGAAAAAGCAATAGGAGAGCTTGTGGTGAACAGGAGGCTTGTGCCCTAGCTAAGAGTGATTCTACTCAACGTGGTTAAATACAGCATACTGTGTTTGAGGCCCCAGCTCAGATCTCTGATTCTGTTGCTGGTAAAAACAACTTCAGTAACTGCCAGGCCAGGCCTCTGACGGCTTTCCTCAAATCTCCAACAGATGGCTGTAATGGGTACAAACTAGGTTTTGTGATTAAATCTCCAGGCCACAGTGTCTTTCCCCCACACAAGTGGATTTGCAGTCAGTGTTATTATTCACACCTTACATACTTGTTTAAACACGGGAATTAATACACTTTCCAATTGTTTAAAGAATTTCTCTTTTGCCCCACAGCTGCCAAAATGACAGATAACTGCACCAGGCAAATTAGCCAGAGATTATAAACCCCAAACCTGAAAGAAATTAAGTTGTGCCTGAACTGAATTAGTCCATAGGCAAGTGAGCAGGCTTTTGTTCACTTGTGTGTTCTGTTTTGTTTTTTAGGGAAGAGCTGAAACTACAGTATATTCCAGTACTTTTCAACTTCTTCTTTAGCTGTTAGTGCTACAACTGTAAAATGCATCATTTTACTTTATAAGTCTTAAGAGGGGCCAGTAAAGATTTTATGGGCTGGTAATTTTGATATAGACTATGTCCATAAAGTTGCCTAATTGCAGTACGCCTCCCCCTCCCCTACTTTACCCATGGCTTTGGGGGATTTATGTTTGTTAGTTCAAAAATCCCTCATGATCACAGCATGAGCATCTCCCCCCGCCTCATTATCAGAAGAACAAGCAACTTGAGGCTTCTCTAACCCCATTCCAGAGTCCTCTGTTTAAGAACTTCCTCTGAGGCCTACAGTCAGAATTTCTGGCTTTTTAATGTATAGTGATATAAAGAGAACAGAGGTCGCGATGCAAACTGTCCCTTTATAGTTGTTAATAGTGGGATAAGACATTATTGTGTGATTCCTTAGTGCCCCTGACTGGGGATTTTATGGAAAGGAATTAAAGATCCAGAAGACAGAGCACATTTCAGTGCAGGAGACTTTCATCAAGGATCCCCTTTTTAGCTGAGTCCTCACTTATCAATCTTATGGGGGGCCAGCACCAGAGGGAACCCTTTAATACCACTCAGCCTATAAAGGCCATTTATTTCATTGTTTCTGAACCAAGTGGAGCTTGCACAGGGCAATTGCTGGTACTCATTAAATGCTAAATAATAACATGCTGTTAAATTGCAAAGCCAGGGTACCACAAAAATCTGTAATATATAATTTCAGCAAAGAATTTTCTTTTGAGAATATGTTCAGCTAATTTAAAGCATAATTTCATTAACATAACCGTCTTTCCACATACAGCGGAGTGAAATTCATAAAACATTGCCAGTGCTTGGGTTTATAGGACAGCGGGTATCACTGGGGCTGGTAAACTTTTATAGTGCATTCTTTTTCCTATCTGATGGTGAATTCAGATTTTTACCATCATCCTGGGTTCTCTCCTGCTGGGACATTACCTCTCTGTCTGAAAGACAAGAGGCCCCAGTTCTCCTAATTTGTCTGATCCTCTTCCTGCAACCCTCCTGGGGTTCCCCCAGCAGCAACATCAAAGCCACTTAGGGCTGGAAGCTGGTGGCCAGCCATATGGAATTACAGCCCAGGCTCTCAGCGGATTACAGAGTGTGTAGCACAGAACCAAATGACAGTTCCATGGCCCAGAGGGAAGCCTCCAGTTTTGCATGGAGAAGATGACTGCTTGTGTATTTATATACAGGCTCCTCATAAACAACCTGGACCTTCTACCACCAGCACCATGAACCAAGGGACGGGCTGAGTTAAAAATACCTCTGCAAGGCCTCTCTTCTAAGTAAATTACCCAGCCCGTCCAGTCTCCTCTGGGTGTTTATTTAAATGTGTTTCTCTGTATATCTCAGAATTAGGAGACATGCTAACCAACAAGCAACATAACTTGAATTATGAAAGAAAAATGTCTTACACAGCAGAGGGCCTTATCTGCTTACCGTCCCCCAATCCAGCCGTGTTTTATCCATCCTGAATCTGGATATTTACCAAAAGGAGCTTTCTGAATCTATAAATCCTCACCTCTCCCTGTCGCTTCTCAGTCTGCTGCAGCCTGGCATCTGTCTCCCCTACTCCCTGGAGCTCGGTTAAAAGGGACCTGCAGAGACATACTTTGTGATCTGCTCCTCCTGGACCATCGTGGCAGACCCAGCTGTGTAGGCTTAAAATTTGCCCTTTGTTACTTCCTCCCCCTTTCTATGGCTCCACCCAGATTTTCTAAATCTGGCTAACCCTGCCTTGGAAACTTTTGTCTCTCTTCCGCTGATTCCGCCCTCCCTCCTTGGTGCTTTAGTTTGGTTGGAGTCTCTGTGCCAGCATCAGCCCAGGTCTCCCCACTTCTCTCCCTCCTTCCTGTTGTATCTTTTCCAGCTGCTACCAGATGACACGATGCAAGCCACCTCCCGTCCTTCCCTGTCATAAATAGAATCCAGTCCCGAGGTCCTTCGAACCTGCTCCCAAATTACCTTTATATCAACTTCATGGCCCTTATCGTGTCCCCTACCACAGACTTCCTTGCCCTTTGGGCCATTGACTTCCTGCAGTTCTCAAGCCTGATTTTTAGGGTTCTGTGCTCTTTCTCGTGTCTTGTGGTGCCTTCTGCATCAGAAACACCGTAGCTGTCTCTAAGACTCAACTCACAGGTCACCTGCTCTGTAAAGAGCAGTATCTCAGCAGCCTCAGCAAAGTTAGGAACCTCCTCTGTGTAGCTACATCTTCTGTTCCTTCCTATGAGCACTCACCGTGCTGGTGATGCTGCCTGTGCCTATCTGTCCCTCTGTCCTAAATGAGACTGTAACAGGAAAGCGTCCTGTTTGTGGATTTCCAGTAACTAACAATGTTTTAGGCACACGCCAGAGAGTTCTACATACCTGGGGGAGGAAGGATGGGTACTTAGCTCATGGCAAGCATCAAATGAAAACCTTATAAATTAAAAGGGATTTTTTATCTGAGGCTCATATTTCCATGGTAAAGAGCACAAAGAAAACCTGCGAGCTGAGTAGACTGTTAACAAGAGAACAGTTAGAAACACATACAGCGCCACTGTTTCAATTGCTGAACCCCTTTCTGCAGGGAAGAAAAAGATGGTTACCAATTTCCCAGGGCGATAAAAGGAGCGCATTAACATTTGTATCCATTTGTATCCGTGGAAGGCAACAGACACGGATGGGACAGAGCGATAAGTCTGGAAGCAGAATAGTCCACTGTGAAGTCAGCGAGGTTTCTTTCAGGGTGTCTGGGAAGTGTCTAATGAATCTAGAAATCAGCTTTTTTTTTTAATTGGAAAGGAAAACACCACATATAAACCACCAAGTAAATGTCATTCATGTTTTACTGTGTTAAAATAGTTTGTTTTTTCTTAAAATTTGAAAGTAAGTCTTTGCCCCTTCAACTAACAACTGCTCTTCCTCCTTTTCCAGGACTTTTATTCCCCCGAACACCAGAGCGATGCTTCCTAGATCACACAGCCTGTAGCAGTCTTCTCTCTCCTCTTCCTGGCACTTGTTGATTGAAGACCTGAGCTGAACTATCAGTTCATCTGAGAAGCCTCCCCAACATCTGGGCTTAGCTATGTTTACTCTTGTCCCCTGGATTTGATGACAGAGACTCGGTCTTTTGAATGAAAAATTCCATTTGCTCTTGTTCACCATTTTATGTTCATTCTATGCACATGGTAAGTGCTTGATGAATATTTACTTGTCAGTGAAAAAGGTGCCTGGGGAAGGGCAGCATCATCTTGGGTTTCATCCCCTGCCCCACAGGCACCGAGACGGGGATATGTGTAGGGATTGGGGTTTATTTGGAAGGTGATCCCAAGAAGACAGGGGAGGGATTAAAAATACCATTGATGGTGGATTATCATGGTGAGGTCCTAGGCTCAATCCCACAGAGAACCCTCTGGAAGTCTGTGCATAATGTGGCCAGGAAGCTGGAGGATTTATATCACAATGGTTGCTGCTCTTTAGTGGACGATGTCCCTCCCCAGCACTTCTGGCCCACACAAGGCCCGATATGGACGAAAAGGCCTCAGGCAGATAGAGAATGAGCACTTGAAGGATACCATTGGCACACAGAGGTTTGTCCATCCAAGTCGCAGTGATCTCTGGGAGCGAACTGGAGAGATGTGAGGCTCACCTCACATAGAAGCCCATCTCACCTGACATTCCTATAGATGATTAGATTAGACCACGTCACCAGCGGGCCACAGCCTTAGCATCACTCTCTGCCTGGTGATCCCCGCTCTGTGTCTGTATTGTGCTTTATTAGGTCAGCGAATACTTTTGATTATGTTCCATATCTTTAGTTACTACACATTTGTACCTTGCAACATGTCTCCTTGGATCAGTCGCTAAGCCAAGAGTGTTTTGTCATAAGACTGGCATTAACTCTCCGAAGCAATGTGGTGGCTTCCCATCTCCGTAATTTTTTAAGTGCTCTATGATCAAATGCATTTGGGAAACTGCTTTCGCGTCAAGCCCTGCTGAAAATGTTTTCACGGCTCCCACTGTCTTTTGAATTAAGAACATCTTCCCCAGCCATTCAAGAGGCTCTGCAAATTAGCTCTGACACTTTCCACTTCTCCTCCAATTAAAGAAAAATTATCTGCTTCTCTTTACTCACCAGCACCCACAGGCTTCTCTGCGCTTTGTTCTGTCCTGAGCCAATTCCCCTGTCTCCAATTCTTGCCTGCTAACCGGGGTTTACCTTATAGGGCTCCCCTTAAATCCTGTAAGCTTTCATTTCTTATCACAGTTATGTGTAGTCTCTGCTGCTGCTCCTGTCTTTAAACCCTTTTGTCTCTCTCTCTGTGTGTTTTATTTTAATATTGACGGCCCTCTAGTACAGTTTTTGGTGAAAATTTGTCATCTTCTCCCTTATCTAATGCTGCTCGACCCCATTTGTAAGTGTCTTCGAGGGCAGGAACTCTGGCTTTTTCTGTATTCTATCTGATCCTTAGATGTTTGTGAAGTCAAATTTTTAAAATTTATTTTTAATTATATAGAATAAAATTCACTCTAAACAACACACAGTTCTGTGAGTTTTGACAACTGCAGAGTCCTATAACCCTCATCACAACTGAGATACAGAATGATTCTCTCACTCCACGCCTCCCCCCAAAATTACCCCATACCGAATCTCTACTGCCAAAATACCCCAAACATGAGCCCTTGGCCGGTCCTTAATCTAATCTCCATTTCTACAGTTTTCCCTTTTTCCAGAGTATTCTGTAAGTGAAACCGATGCACCACGCACCCTGTGACCCTGGTTTCCCTCAGGTGTGTGACGTCTCTATTTTATTTGTGTTACCGAGTGCTACCCCACGCGCTGGGCCTGCTGGAACTTGCTTACAGGGTCCCTCCAGGCAGCATGCTGAGCTTACGCTTCAGGGTTAACATGAAAAAGGAGGTTGGCAAGTGTAAGGTGACTCAGGCTTAAATTTATAAGAACCCCAAAGTGACTGTTTCATCTCCAAAGTGACTGAACGTTTCACATTATCATCAGAAGTCCTGGAAAATTACAGCAACTGTGCATTCTTATCAACACTTGGAAATGACATTTTAAAAACCACCCCTTGTAGTGAATACTAGTAGTTATTACTTTTATTGCCCTAAAAAATGATTCTGAATCTCTTTTTATGGGCCTACCTGACACTATCTATCTTTTTTCATAAAATTTAAGTGTTTGGGTCATTTATTACATTGGGACAACTCATTTGGTTTTCTTTTATAATTTTTATGAAATCTCAATTTATTATTATTTTTTTCTTTTATGGCTCAGGCTTTGGCTGTCACGTCTAGGAACTTTGTGTCTAAAAGAAGGTATGAAGATTTTTCTCCTATATTTTCTTCTTGAAGTTTTGCAGTTTTGAACCAGTAGTCTTACATTTGATTCCAAGGTGCTTTATGATACACTGGCAACTAGTACTGGTCTAAGGTGTGAGGTTCGCTGAGTTGAATTCAGCCTTTGTGGACGACATTTTTCCTTTCCCATGTAAGGCCCTGTTTTCACTTTAATTGCCTGACTTTGGTGCTCCAGATTCTCTTTTTTTGAGGCAGTCTTTGTATATAGTCCAGGTTAGCCTTGAACTCACTATGTAACCCAGGCTGTTTCACGTTTGTGGCAATCTTCCTGCCTCAGCCTCCTGAGTGCTGGGATTACACGTCTGGTTGATGCTCTATATTCTTACATCAGAACTACAACCCCAATTAGAATCCTCCGCAAGGACAAACAAATTTGAATTGAAAAAAGCTTAATTAGAATTAGACAGGCTGACTGTAATGAATGTTAATAAAGAATATTAAATAAGATACAAACATGTCTACTCTTTGCTTTAACTAGTATTGGTTGACAAAATCAACACACATGAGGTATTTTATCTCTGTGTGTGTATTCATTGACATGTGCATACACATCCATAGACTGTTACGTTTTTCTGAACTGTTGCCTTTCCCTAGAGCTTTATACTATAATTCTACTGATTTAGAAATTCTAGCTACTCTTTTTCCCAGAGGCAGGCGAATGTGGTTAGTGGGTTTAGAATTTGTCACAAATTGTCACATTATTCAAAGATGGATTTTCCATGACATCACTTAGAGATGGCTTCGTCCTCTCATAAACACAGTGAAACATTTTATCCCAATTTTTATTTTCCTTTTATTTCATTTCTAACTTTTTGTAACAGCACTTTTTACTGGCAACCAGCATATCCCTTTTGATGCCTCTGGCCACACTGGAGTGCCTTTGCTTTGCCCTGAATCAGACAGACGATGAGCAGCATGGCTTTCTTGCTGAGTCCATGGTGCGGGAGGCCAGGGCGGCTCTGTCACCGGGGCACTCAGCAGGGACCTTTGCGCAGAGCGGAGGGCGCTCTTCAGTGCCTTGGGTTAGGACTGATGACTTTCTCACTGTTGCTGCTTTAGTGTTCTGGGCTCCTTAACGAAGAAGCTACTGTCAGACTTTAGCCTAATGTATTATCTGGGAATCTGAAAAATGCAACGCACTAGATAGCTTTCTAAAGCAGCAGGAGTACTTACTCTGAAAGATGATTTGTTCTGATCCTTCACTCTGCTACAAAAGGATCACACACCCTTTGCCTTGTGACTTTGTGTTGTCCCACCATGAGGTAATGGCACACTTCCTCCCAAGTTGTACATGATTGCCACTGGACTGATCTGATAGGCTGCAGAGGACGTGACATGAACAGAGAAGCATCATATATGCATGTGTGATTTAGCTTGGCCATTTGCACTCCCAGGATGCCAGTGAGAAGAGGATGAGCTCACTAGACTCTACCCTTTGAGCATGGGCCCAGGGGAAACACATGGAACAAATCTAAACCTAATCAGCATCCTGGATTTACACTATGCAAACTGTATCCTGAAGCAGAATGGCCAAGTGAATCAATAAGAAATATAAAATATGTGTTGTATATAAACAGTAGAGTTTTGTTACTTAGCATTATCATAGCAGTTGCTGACTACTACACTTACACATCTCCACTGAGGTATCCCATGAAACACAACCTTTTGCTTTGATGAACCAACAAGTGAATATTTGTATCCATGAAGTAGACAGGTAACCATCTGATCATGGATTTTCCTTCAGCCTGATCTTTCTTTAAGAATTTTCTCTGAGCAGGATTTCTAACTATGCTTCTAGCAGTGTAGAACTGTAGGATATAAAAGCTGTCACTTCTTACTTATCCACATAGGTTGCTAGTGTCTCCCAGCTAAAGTCTCTAGCAAGTTGTTGTATTATCGTGGGGTAACGGCAAAGGTTACAAATTCCTTGGAAGACAAGCCACTAAAGTTCAGTCTTTCCCCAATAATATTAATCTTGATCATAAAATGTGCTACCGCTTCTGTGCAATGCTCAATGAGCATCGTCTTGGAATAAGTCTGAGCCTGTTTCACCTTCCTTCCTGGATGAACACATTCCATCATGAATGTGAGTGCATTTTGCAGTTGTGTCACCAGGATTGGCCAGAATTTGTTTACCTACAAACAGACGTTTTGCTATGTGGGACTGGAGTCTTTTATTATATTGTTCTATGTCAAAACTTAAGGACGCAGAATGATATTCCTTTCACAAAACTTATCTCAGGATTGAATCCTGTTACCTCGACAGCAAGAAATTTTTCAGGACAACTTGAGACCTAGATTTGTGTCTTTACAACATGGTCAAATAGTCTTCCTATTTTTAATGCATCACACAAAATCTTAAAAATTTAAGAGTAATAACCAAGTATGGAAAAGTTTTCCTTATAAAAATTGCATGGGCTCAGTTCATTTTCTAAAGCTTATCTTTCTTTCTCCATTTTGATGCTATTTCTCATCCTACTGTTCCCTTTCTCCTAGAATGAGATTGCTTATCCTCTGATTATTCAAACACATTGGAAGCTGTAGCTGTCTTTTAGTATTGGTGATCAGTTACGCAGAAGAGGGAGCACATTTATCCTGTGTTGCTGTGGAAAGAACTGAGTTGGACAAATTGCTGGGCCAGTGTCACCCAGAGCAAGTTATTGGGCCTGGTGGTGCATGTCTGTAACCCCAGCACTTGGGAGGCTGAGGCAGGAGGATCACCATAAGTTTGAGGCCAGCCTGGGCTACATGGTGAATTCAAGACAGGCTTGAACTGAAAAGTGAGACCTGGTCTCAACTCACCCTGCAAGCC